GTTTGTATTGTAGAGCTAGTTGTTGTATGATCTGAAATATGTACTAGTATTAATATGTGAGTGCTAGGATTGTTTCAGTGCTTTACAGCTTAAGAAGCTCCACAATTCCTCTGCTTGAATTACACACAAAGTGGTTGCACTATTTTCCTCTGGGATATTACCCAGTGCAAACTGTTTTGTCTGTAGTGCTGAATAATTCACAAGCTGCATTTTACCGGTTTACAAACATTACAAAGATTTTTCATTCCTGACTTTTATACACGGTAAATCAACATGCCTATAAATAGGATGTTATGATCACAGTGTCTCACAACAAACTGGATCTATGTCTGCTTTATCTCAACACTATCTCATCATTACCCCAGGGAGTATTTTCCTTGATATATTTGGTGATGACTCCTGCCCAGAATTTGTTAATCAAAATAAGTTTTCATTTTGGGGGAAACCCAACCCCCAAAAAAACAGATTTAAAAAATAAATAAATTATTATTATTTTGACTTTTGTGCAGAGTTATATACAATCACATCCCAAGAGTATTTCTTCTTAGAATAGCAGAAAAATTTTAAAACAACTACCCAAAACATTTTTTTTTTGTTAAATCACGAGATGTTGACATAAGTACAAGGGAATTGCACAATAACAAGCAATTATTAATACAACAAAATAATGTTACATGAGGTCAGTCTAACATGAGTTTTTTGGTTTTTTTTAGATCTCATTGAGAATGGATGGTTGTTAAACTCTTTCTACACATTATACTGGCCTGGAATGGCCATCGGCAAATGTCCAGTGGTCCACGATGGCCTTGGGCAGAGGCTGGCAGGGGAGATCCAAGAATATAAAATAAAATAAACTCCTAGAGGGCTGCTCTGCCTTTAACTGCCCAGGCTAAATTTTTGTCCCAGTCCGGCACTGAATTCCACTGTCTGGATGGTGTTTCCACTCTAGACCTACTTGGGCTGGGTAAAAGTATGCATGTGTTCAATGTTGTAGGCTGGATATAAAAAAAGAATTAAGGCATATTTTGGTTTTAACCAGAATATCCATATAAAGGTCCCAGAACTCCTGACAAGGTAGTAGATTGTAGAGTAACAAATGTTAAAAAACAAAACAAAAAACAAAACAAAAAAAACACACACACACAAAACAACCTCACATTACTTCAACATGTAACAAATTGGGCAAAACGTATTGCATGTGGAAGTTTAAAATATTTAACATGTATTACTCCACAATAAACTGGCATGCTGCCTTTTACTACTACTTGTGAGTGCAGGACTTTGTATATTTTTGCAGAGTGGTAAATTAACTCATTTATTCCATCTGACTCCTGAATGGTGCAATTGGGATCTAAATCAGATTTGTGTATGGCTTGAGCTCTGGTTTCTCAATACAAAAGTATTAACTATTTTATTTCCGGATTTTAATTAGACTACACCACAGATTAAATAATTGCATTGTGTGACTATAACTAGTTTACCATATGTTTATAACTAAAGTGAGAATTCAAGGTGAATTTCAAATTTAAAGGGACACTCCAAATATGAAATAAAAAAAAAAAAAAAAATCACTGTTTAGTAGATATAGCCGAGATGAAAACTTACATGCATTTAATTGTGCATTTTTTGATTGGGGGTATATTTAAACCCTCCTGCAAAACCTGCAGTTATCTTGTCTGCTGCCTTTGCAAGTTCTCCCCTGCCAACCATGCCCTGAGTTTATGTCCAATCACAGACTTACCAACACAACTCAATAAGAAGTCTTTGCAAGGCACGTGCTACGGTAAATTGCTGCCTCTTGAGTCTAGCTCAACTGAGCTAACCTAGTGGTTTCCAAACCAGTCCTCAAGGGCTCACCAACAATCCAGGATTTATGTATTCCCCTGTCTTATTTCAATGGAGATACTGACAAAACCTGGACTGTTGGTGGGTCTTGAGGACTGATTTGGAAAACACGGAGCTAACAATACCAGAAAGTAACATTACCTGTTGTCTACTTGAAAGCCAAGAGTGGGTCTAACCTGGTTAATTTATGAAAGTGTAAATTTAAAATCTGTACTGTTTGCATAATAAAAAAAGAGGACACTTCACACATAAAACTTTTCAGCAAGCTAAAGTGTCCCTTTAAAGTTAGACATGAAAATGAATTCTATGTCACCTATGCTTTCAGTTCAGTTAATCAGGCCTTAAATATGAAATTCAATGTAAAAATATTCTATACGTTGTGTTTCTACTCAGTTAATGAGATCACATTTATTTATTTATAACATATTTTACCAAGATGGATACATTGAGATTTCTCTCGTTTTTAAGTAGGTCCTGGGTCCACATAACATTGCATTGTTACAATAGGATACAATATACAAAATTATATATATATAAATAACTGAATAAATGTGATTTTATTGATGACACGGAGGCTCCTATTATGCTATCTCTTTCTTACTTTATTCCTCAGCAGCAAAGAGAAATATAAAACTGAAAGAGAAAAAAATGTAGATATTCACTATAATAACAGGTACAACAAGATCTGCCGAGTAACAGGGCAGCCAATCAGCTTAGTAGGAACAGTCCATAAATGCCTTGCTTAGTACTTCCACTTCCTCTTTCTTTGCTGCTGTCCTCAGACCAGCTAAGTATTAATTTCACTCCTGTATATTTTGATCTTGGATTGGTTTTATATGTTTATCTACTGATTAATTTTTCCTGTATTATGTATTTGAATGCTGCTTTGTGCACCCTTTATGGTTTATGTATTTTGTCTTTTTTGGCACCCCTTTTCGGTGTCTCTGTTCTTCCCCTACTGGCTCGGTCTCCCTGCCTGTGCTGTACCATTGTGAGCACTGACAGGGACCGCGGATCTCTGGGGAAGCTTTTCTCTCGGGAGCTGCTGTGCTCCCTGACCGCCCTCCCTCCTCCCCTCGCGGCCGCGTGTGCGGCTCTGACCCGCTCTACCACCGCCCGCATGTGTGTTTTTCTGCGAGCTCCCCGGCCATTGGCGGGGGAGGAGTTTGGGGCCGCGGCATGCTCTGCCTGCGACGGCCATCTTCACTCACGCACGTGGCTGCTGGCGGATTCGGCGGTCGGCTCCCTTTCCCCTTTTTCTCCACAGGTATTTACTTTTGTGGGTTACTCAACCCCTGTAGTGTAGTTAGGTGTGTTCCAGCACGCTATTTTATCAGTTATTCTGGGACTGGGACCTGGCTCCCCAAATACTATTTTCTTGTGGCAAATTTTTTTTTATTAAGTTATATTTAAAGGGGCATACCCCTTTTTACCCACAAGCTTATTTGCCCTCCTGTCTATCATGCAGGCTAAGGGTGATGATTCTGGCAATGTCTCCCCCGATACGACTCAGGTAGTACCTGCCATGACTGACGCGCCTCTGGCCGTCCAAGATGGCGCGTTACCGCGCAAGAGAGCCGCTGGCCGGGCAAAATCGGCCAGAAAGTGGAAAAGGGCGCGTGCCCATGGCAATGACAGATCAGACTCCGATCCAAGTGGGGAGACAGGTTCGGACACCCCTGACTACGCCTCTTATGAGGAAGGGGACTCCGACTCGGAGGCGGGGTCTGACGCTTCGGCGTTACCTCCGAGTGGGGAACTAGGCATATGCGATCCGCAGGGTTACCCCCTGTTCGATCCTGATGACCTTCGTCACCCTCGCTTGGCGGAATGGGACCCGCCCGAACATATAGCTAGCTATCTAGCGCTTCGTATGCGTACCCCCTTATCCAAGGAAGGGCGCAGTAAGTTACAGGCCGGATGCCCAAGGCCCTCAGTGCCTGATGCGGCGTGTAAGACGCCAGAGGTTGACCCTCAGATCTCACAGTTCCTGACAAAAACGGGCTGGAAACCCAGAAAGGGTTTGGAGTTTTCACTCCATAATTGCCAGGACAAGATTTTGGACACTCTATGTCCCGTAGCTAAGCTTTATGAGCTATTAGAGGTGGCTAAAACAGGGGATACCCCCCTTGATTTCGAAGTGGCAATAGGTTGGGTCCAGAGATTGATTTGCCTACTCGGCAATGCTAATACGGCTATGTCGGCCGAACGCCGCAAGGCGATCTTGCTTAAAATAGAGCCTAAACTGGTTAACCTTGCGGTGAAGGAACCGGGCGCTGCCGCTAAAGGCATGCTCTTTGGTGAGTCTTTTGTTAAAGACTTGGGCTCTTTTGTGAGTACCTAGAGCACCGCCCTAGATAAGGCCCAATCCAACCTTAAGAGAGTTTTTGACCCAAAGGTTTTCAACAGGGCCGGGAGGTATAGGAGCCGTCCGCCCGGCCGTGGAAATCGAGGTCCCTCACGGACTCAAAGAGGTTCCTTTGCTGCTCCTCAGGCCTATCAGGACTACAAACCCGCTCCCTTCTTTCCCTCCCGCGGGAGGACATGGCAGAATCGGGGAGGACGTGGCCAGCCCTCATACAGATGCCCTTACGGTGAGTACTCAAAAAGTTTTTTCTCTCCGGGCGAGTGTGGGAGGCTGGTTAGCTTTGTTTCTCGACATGTGGGGCATGATCACCACGGATATGTGGGTGTTAAATACTATCAGAGGCTTTCGTCTGGATCTTTTGTCTCCCCCTATCCAGGTGGATTCACCTCAGGAACTGAGGTTCCCGGAAGATCAGTCCGGGCTGATTACCAAGGAGATCTCGGAACTTCTGGCCAAACGGGCAATACAAGAAGTCCCGTACGATCATCCGGGATTTCTAAGCAACCTGTTCCTCATCGCCAAGAAAGGCGGAGGAGTTCAGCCGGTGATCAATCTCAAACGACTCAACGGATTCCTTCATTACCATCACTTCAAGATGGAGGGAATACATTGCCTCAGAGATCTGCTTCGGCAAGGGGATTGGATGGTCAAGCTAGACCTCAAGGACGCATACCTGACTATACCTATGGCAGAGGTACACTGGGACTTATTGCACTTTACGTGGCAAGGTCGTCGGTGGAGGTTTACCGGTCTGCCCTTCGGTCTCTCTTCCGCACCTTGGTGCTTCACGAAGGTGATGAAACCGGTGGTGGCGTTCCTCAGGTCGCGGGGCGTCCGCATGATTATCTACCTGGACGACATACTGATTATGTCCGCGTCCCCCGACCAACTTCTACAGCACCTGAGCTGGACGGTGGATCTTCTGGAGAGCTTAGGTTTTTCTCATAAACTGGGAAAAGTCCATGGTGACCCCAACGCAGAAAATAGAATTTCTGGGTTTCGAAGTCGATTCGGTCGCCCAGTTTCTGGTCCTTCCAGAGACCAAGCTAAAGGCTATAAAGAAAGAAATAAAACGTACTCTACGGACCACCAGTCTCTCCGTACGACAATTGGCGAGGGTCATTGGTCTTTTGGCCTCCTCCATTCAGGCAATTTTTCCGGGACCCCTACATTATCGGACCCTACAACGTCTGAAAGGATCCCACCTTCTCTCGGGCAGTTCGTACGAAAGTGAACTATGCCTGGACAGGGACTCCAAGGAGGAACTTCGATGGTGGTTGGATCATATGGAGGCATGGAATGGTCGAGCAATCTTCGGCACCGCCCCGGACATGGTGATAGAATCAGATGCCAGCCTGCATGGCTAGGGCACTCTCTGTGGAGATGTCTCCACAGGTGGCAGATGGTCCGAAATCGAATCAAAGCTACACATCAACTGTCTGGAATTGCTGGCGGGATGGTTCGCTATTCGCAGCCTGTCTCCAACCCTGGGAAACTGCTGCGTCCTTCTGCGTATGGACAATGTGTCCGCGGTCAGATATATAAAGCACCTAGGTGGCATGAAGTCAAAACAACTGGCAAATCTAGCGAAAGATTTCTGGCAGTTCTGCCTCCACAGCGAGGTGTCAGTCACGGTCGAACACATCCCGGGTTTGGACAACGAATGGGCAGACTGGAATTCGCGATACTTGAAAGACTCCGGAGATTGGCATCTGTTGCCTTCGATCTTCCGACAGATAGATCAACTATGGGGCCCGTTACAACTGGACTTGTTCGCATCCAGACTGAACGCTCAACTACCCCAATACTTCAGTTGGAGACCAGATCCATCAGCCACGGCGGTGGACGCGTTCCTGCAGATATGGCCTCGGGGTCGTCACTTTGCATTTCCCCCTTTCAACCTGATCTCTCGGACGCTGGCATACTTGTCCGGACAAGAATGAACGTTGGTGGTGATAGTTCCCCTATGGCAAACTCAGCCTTGGTTTCCACGTCTTTTGGAGATGGCGACGGAGTGCCCACGGATGATCAGGATGCGACCAGAGGTGCTTCTGGATCCGGATGGGAACTTACACGACTTAGTGGACCAGAACCTGCTCCAGCTCACGGCTTGGTTGATTTCCGGGGACCCTGGTGTGTCTCTGACGTTCCGCAGGCTACTACAAGACTCCTGGAGAATGCCTGGGCACCGGGTACCAGAACAGCTTACAAGTCTGCATGGCGTGTGTGGTCTGGCTGGTGCGTGGGGAGACTGCTGGCTCCCCTTTCTGCCCCTCTGAAGGAGGTGCTCAGTTTTCTGACTACGCGTTTTGAATCTGGTTTGGCCTATCGCACTATCAATGTTTATAGATCGGCCATCTCAGCCGGACATCTAGGTATTGACGGATCACCGATTGGACAACATCCTTTTGTGTGCCGTTTGTTGAAGGGTATTCGTTACTCTAGGCCTCCAAAATCCAAATATTCATCGTTTTGGGATGTTAACGTGGTGCTGGACTTCTTGGAATCATGGCCTCCTAATGAGGACCTGTCACTGAAGCAATTATCCTGGAAATTGGTTATGCTCCTGTGTCTCCTTTCATGCAAAAGGGTTTCAGATGTCAGGGCTTTGGACTGGAATGCGTTATCCTTCACCCCCGAGGGAGTGTCGTTTAACATCTCTAGGAGGACGAAGACGTCTTCTAAGTCAGTGACCTACCCTAGGTGTTCAGTCCGACCTGCTCTGTGTCCGGTAGCTTGCCTACGGTTGTACTTGGATCGCACTCACCTATTGAGGTAATCGGATTTATCCCAATTGTTTATTTCCTTTAAGAAACCGTTTCTCCCGATCTCCTCGACTACGTTAGCTCGTTGGATTAAGAATCTTCTATCTGCTGCAGGAATTGATACTTCAATATTTTCGGCTCATTCGGTCAGAGGCGCCATGGCGTCTAAGGCCTCCACGATGGGATGTCGTCTGGATGATATCCTGAAGGCAGCGGATTGGTCTAGAGAATCTACATTCCGCGATTTTTATTTCCGCCCGATTGACCATGTTTTCCTCGTTAGTTATGGCTCAGCTTTAAACTAGCATAATAGGAGCCTCCATGTCATTAATAAAATTTTACTAATAACATGACGTAAAGTCATGATTTTATTAATGACACGGAGGAGAGTATTATTCCCACCCTCCCACCCAGTGGGTATGGTTTGAGTCTATACTTATGGTTCAATCGGGTGGGGGTTCTTTTACCTCAAGGTAAGTGTTCACAGTTTTTTCTCTGACTTATTTGAATCTATGTACTTATGTGGTTACGATTTTGACGTTTTCTAGTCCTGCAGGCCAGATTGTCATGAAATGTTACATGCAGGTCCGGAGTTTGGATTTTACCTACTTTTTCTCTGTTTTACAGCTTGATTTCGTTAAGATGACGTCTACCTTGTTGGAGATTGTTCTTTCCTGATGTGGAAGTTTGGTTTGGGTCTTCAGTTCAGAAGGCAAAGAAGAGGAAGTGGAAGTACTAAGCAAGGCATTTATGGACTGTTCCTACTAAGCTGATTGGCTGCCCTGTTACTAGGCAGATCTAGTTGTACCTGTTATTATATTGCATATCTACATTTTTTCTCTTTCAGTTTTATATTTCTCTTTGCTGTTGAGGAATAAAGTAAGAAAGAGATAGCATAATAGGAGCCTCCGTGTCATTAATAAAATCATGACTTTACGTCATGTTATTAGTAAAATCTGGGAATTTTTTTTTAGTTAGAAGACCGTAAGTGCTAGCCTATATTTCAATATTTTTGTATATTTTGGCTGTGGCTTTTAGCACCCGGCATTCAATATTATGCTTTATATAGCAGGGCTAATCTGAGTGTGAGGACTGGTCTATTGTTATATATGCACACACACATATATAAATGTAATACATAACAGGTAATAAATATATTCAACCATGACCTAATCATAAAAAAAAATTGATGAAACGTCAGCATATTAGTGAAACTTGGCTGGGTAGCCTTGAAAAGCCAGATATATGGAATACTATAATGTGATGCCCAGGACTTGTAGTTACAGGTGCTTTTTTATATTTACACGTTAGGCCAGCCACAGTGAACAGGCCGGGTTGCGGGGGACAACAGGGCTGTGGCGGTATGAGGTTTGCACCAGCAGATGCACATCATAGTAATGGCTTCCTCACGGTCCAGCGCTCTCTAGTAAGTCAGAGCGCAGCCGTTGACTCCCTAAGTATTGCACCGCAACAGCGCGATTACTAAGATGTGCACCTGCTGGAGGTGGAAACCTCTCATTCCCACACTAGATCACCATGGATCCAGAACCCATTAATGAACCACCAAGGATCCATACTCCATCACTGGACGGTGGACCATCAGGGATCCAGGACCCCAACTAAACCCCATAAAGTGGAGATCAGAGCTACATTACAATACACATTATACAGACAGCATACAGCACACACATTACGTATAACTATAACCCACCACGTGCAATGCATATAGCCAGAACACACCACATGCATTACACACAGCCGTAAGGGACACATTTTCACAATGTTGGGGTTCCTGTTTCCAGTCTTCTGTCCTAAATTCTAATAGAACACTCAAGAAGATTCTGCAGACCATAACAACTTCATACAAATTAAGTGGGTCATGGTGCCAGGAGATCCCTGGCACTGGCTTACTTTTAGGAGTTAAACCATTCATGAACAGTTTAACTGCAAAGTCTCCCCTCCACACCGGATCACCCTGGCCCCTCCAACATTACTTGCTAAAAAAACTTCAAAAAGAAAGAGTAGGTCTGTCACAGGCAGGGGCAAAGCTGAGTGGTTTAGAGTAGTCAGCTAACCCTCTAATACAGGCTTCCCCAAACTCCGGCCCTCCAGATGTTGCTGAACTACAACTCCCATGATTCTCAGCCTATCTATTTAATTCATAGAATCATGGGAGTTGTAGTTCAGCAACATCTGGAGGGCCGGAGTTTGGGGAAGCCTGCTCTAATACAATCAGCAGCTCTCCATTCATACATTTTTTTTTCTTGAGAAACAGTTTTTGAATGGGGAATGAATTAAGAAACAGGAAGGGGCACAACAAAACAGCACTGGAGAGGAGATTTTGAGGTTAAATGGTTTGTAAAAGGTAAACCAGTGCCAGGAACCTCCGGCACTATAACAAATTGTAATCAATATTTTGGTGCCTGGTGGGTCCCTTTAACGTGCAAATGAACCCTTTATTGTCTGACAGAGGATTGATGGCTATCGACTAGAGCAGGAGTAGGAAACCTTTTAGTAGTACTGTTCCAAAACAATATATTGAAGTCCCTTGGTGAACCTGTCCTACATTTTTAAATTGAGGTGAGTATGTTGCTGTATTGTGCTTGTGGTAATTATGGTTGCTGCAATTGCTTTGTAATATTTTATTTGTGCGTATGTGGGCTGTTATATTATATATGTTCATGAGTAGTTTGTGGTATTGTGTGTGATAACTATAAATGTGGGTTGTGTATGGGGCTGCTTGTGTAATTGTGTGTGTATGATAAGTCACATTGTATGTTTGGTGTGTTTATTTGTGGGGCTGCTTCTGGTATTGCATGTGGCTTGTCAGTGGTGTTGTGTTTGTGAGGACTGTGTGTGTGTCCTGTTTGTATTATTTGTGTGAGGAAAAGGCTTATCCTGCAGCTCTGTGTAGAACTAGCAGTGTGAGTGGCTTACCTGGGGTCTAGTGGCGACCAGGCTGGCCAGGTACAACTTAAAGGAAGGAGCTGCGGATTCCCTGTTCACAAGTGCTGTGAGAAAGTGATCTGAGATCACTTCCTCTAACTGCTGCGATGCATAAATTGAGGATTGTCCCTCACTACATGCAATCACCGCTCGGGTTGCACTAGCAAATATCTGAAGTCCCACTAGGACTCCTGATAGGCCAGAGCCTGTTTGGCTATGGCAGCTTTGAGAGCCGTGGAAAGGCTCATCGAGTGCCATGCATAGCACATGTGTCATAGGTTGCTGA